TATATATATATATATATATATATATAGGGTGCCCCACAAAAATTGGCGCCATTTAAAATGTATATATTTCTGAGTAACTGCATATCCGATGCAAACAAAATTAAATAGACTTCATGCCGAACAATAAAAGATTTATTGATCAAAATTTGATCAAGGTGTTTAAAGGGATATAGATTTTAGAACCTATTTCATAAAGCTTCGCAAATGTTCAATATGCGCACCACCTGTGACACTGCACGCATCGAGACGGTTGTCCAGCTCCTGCTAAACACGTTGTAGCATGCCTTGCGTTAACAGTATCCAGCGGCTCAGTCATTCCCTGCTTAAGTTCCTCTAGGCTCTATAGCAAGAGCGGTATATAGACCTGTACTTTCACATAGCCCCATAGAAAACGATCCGAAGGTGTCAAGAGAGGTGAACGTGGGGGCCATTTCAACAACACATTGTCATTATCACAGGCACGCCTCGATCCATCTTCCTGGTAGCTTTATTTTAGTTTTTACACATTTTGTTAAAATTTGAGATCATTTGAGCGAGAATTGGCTATGTTATTAGACTGCAAAATGATGTCAATTTTGAGGACTATCTCCCCTCTCTCTCTCTCTCTCTCTATATATATATATATATATATATATAGAGAGAGAGAGAGAGAGAGAGAGAGAGAGAGAGGGAGAGGGAGGGAGAGAATGAGGAGGAAAGAGAGTGTGACAGATATTATGAAAGAAGCAACATGGAAAGGGAGACGAATGCAAAGTGCTACATTTATCGTGCAATATCAAAAAGGATATTTTTGATACGTCACCAACATCAGACGTCTGATCCATTGAAAAAAATGGTCAGCACTTTACCCTTTAAAGAAAATGGTCACCATAGCTACTTGTATTGAACTTAATATTCAGCAATTTAAACCATTTAAGGAAATGGACAGTATTTTGACCTATAAAAGGAATGGACAATTTTATGAAACATTGAAGTAAACATTGAATATTTTGAGCAACAGAAGCAGATGGAAAATATTATGAACCCTTGATGGAAATAGTATTTTGAACCACTGATTTGAATGGACAGTTTTTCGAGCCACGGATGTGAATAGTCAGTATTTTGAAACACTGATGTAAATGCTCTGTATTTCGAACCAGAGCTGAATTACATATATTTAGGTTGGAGTTACCATTATTAGTTTTGTAATCAATGAAACTGTTCTGTAAATTTATAAATTAAGAGTTGGAGATTTCTTTTTGGTATGTTGAATACATAAGTTATTCGTTTTTTTTTTAATAAGTTTTAATTTACAAATTAAGATATAAGTAGAAAGGTATATAAAAGTATAGGATATGAATATAACTTTTATAAGCTAATTTTGAACTATTGTCGGACTGTATAACGTGTAGAATAAGTATGGGTGTAAATTAATTTTTCTGAAAGTATTACTAGTATTATATATGCGCAGAAAACATTTTAAAGAATCATAATCTAAGATAAATTAGTGGAGAGGGATATAAGAGGGTAGAAAGTATTCAAAGGAGGTGAGTTACAATTTTAAACGTTTAACAAGATTGTAATGTTAGATCTTTAATATGCCTACAAAAAAACGGTGGTTTTATATCTTTGAATTAACAATTAGGCGTTGTTCAAAAGTTCAACAATACATATTTTTTCATGAAAGAATAAAAACAAGTATTGTTCAATGA